AACGCCCGCCCCCCCCTCGGCCCCCGGTGCCTGCGGGGGGGGTGAGGACCTGGTCCAGCCCCATGTGGCTCGCTAGTCCGGCTTTGCACCGGAGTGGGTCACAGGGCTCCAGGAGGCACAGCTCCTGTGTGCGCCTCCCAGAGCGCTGCAAAGCACTTCAGTGCAAAGCCGGACTAGTGAGCTGCAGGGATCTGGGCCCAGCCTGGCCAGACTGCAGAGGGGCCTCAGGACCAGGCTGGGCCTGGCACGTGGTCCCCGCATGCTGCACTGGGTCCTGTCAGCATGGGCCCAGCCTGACTGGGCTGGAGAGGGGGCCCAGGACCCGGCTGGGCCTGGCACGTGGTCATCATGTGCCATGCCAGGTCCTGCTACCACAAGACCAGCCCAGTTGGCCAGCAAGAGCAGCCCCAGGGTGGGCAGGACCAGGCTGGGCTCAGCACATGGTCCCCCCGCTGCTGCTGTTAAAGGTTAGTTATGGGCCCTGAGCAGGGGGGCTGGGGCCCTCCAGGGTGGAGTTGGGACCCTGGGGGGGATAGGGGCTGTGGCCCTCCAGGGGGGAGCTGGGACCCTGGGTGGGGGGGGCCCCCAGGGTGCCTGGGATCCTGGGCAGGGGGGCTGGGGCCCTGGGGGGGATAGGGGCTGTGGCCCTCCAGGGGGGAGCTGGGACCCTGGGCGGGGGGGCATTCCATGTGCAGGGGGGCTGCACCCTTTGGGGGCCAGGGGCCCCACCCCTCCTCAGCAGTTTCCATGTGCTTGGGGGGGCCTGCACCCTGTTGGGGCCAGGGAACCCACCCCTCCTGAGCAGCCCCCACACAAGGTCCCCCACACCCACAGTGCCCCCAGCAATTGCCCCACTCCTACCCACAGACCAACCCACATCCCTCCACATCCACCCACCCACCTTTCCCCACACCTCTTCTCATCCTCTTTCTACAAACACCACATCCCCTCATCACACACCCATCATATATAAAGAAAACCAAAAGTACACATCAACACATATAGGTATTTAGAATTTTTTTTTCATGATGATAGGGACACTGGTAGGCTTCCAAATTGCTTTAACATTGTATATATACCAATAAAGCATTACCCAACTTATCTCCCTCTCTCTCGATATGTGTGTGTGTGTGTGTGTGTGTGTGTGTGTATAGAGTGTTTTTTTGTTTTAAATGTGGAGGAACATGGATTTTGGGGTATTTTTAAAAATGGATTTGGGATGCTGCTGCAGCAGTCCAGCTGGCACAAGGGGTAGGGTCCCCCAATATCAATTGGCTGGGCCCCAGAAGCTCCAGAGAGTTAGTAGGCCTGAGCTGCTTGCCAGGGCAGCTTTTTGTATGGATGGGGCCAGGACAGGGCAGCTTTTTATACTGCTGGGGACAGCACAGGTGCTAGCCCCTGGCTCTAGCTCTCCCTGGCTGCAGATCCGGGAGGAGCCAGGCAGGGTTATTGTGCCCCAAGTGGCACAGTTTGCTCCACACCAAAGTGCATGTCCGAGCATGTGCGCTGAGGCAAAAAGCCCCAGCTCAAATTTGCACTGCTTCTATTTGAGCTGCTGCAAGCGCACATGCTTGCATGTGTGGATACACCCTAAGTGGCTAAAGAAATCGACTTCATTGGAGACAATGGAAGAAAATGGGTTGGTGATGCTGCAGTTTTCTCCCACACACACACATGCACACTCTCTCACTCTCTCTCTCTCCCTGTTGGGGTCACATGACCCACAGGTTCAGCACTGCAGCAGTAGTTCATGGGCCAGCTAATTCCAGAAGCTTTATGCTCAAAACAGAAAACATCAAACTGGAGGATTTGCTGAGATTCATTACAGTATCTGTTTTTCTGTTTGTACTGTTCCTTTCCCTTCTCTTGCTCTCTTTGTCCAAAGAGTATGTCAGAAAAGGACAAGCTGGTGGAACTATATCAATACCCAGGGTATAATGAGCATGAACCAACAGCACTGCCTAATGAGACAAACCTAGCTGAAGTAGTGGAGAAAGTTGTGCGTGCCCAGAGAAAGCCAGCAAGCGGAAAGGTACCCTACTTATTCTCAGAGGGCAAGTATGTTTCCATGCCATGGGTGTAAATTCATACAGGTGAACATCTGAGTATATGGCCTGATGGTTTTGTGGATGGATAGGTATACTTATATGTGTTGTGTGAATATTAGCATTTGTTTGTGAATATGACCATTTGGAGGGCTGTGCAAATAAAGGATTCAAAGGTTCTGTTGCCCTGTGGGGTCAGGCCAACTCTCAGGATCTCAATATTGCACTGTTAGACAGGAGGGTGCAATTGCACATATACAAACACACAAATCAATTAGGTGCGTGCGCACACACACACACACACACACACACACACACTACTAACTCAGGCACATACACATCCAAACCAGCCTACGC